TTTCTCTCATTTTTCCCCCATTTTCTCTCATTTTTCCCCCATTTTCTCCCCATTTCTCCCCATTTTTCCCCAATTTCCCCATTTTTCACCCCATTTTCCCCCTCACTCACCCCATGGCGCCGCCGCAGTTGCCGAAGGCGCCGGTTGCCATTTCCCCATTTTTCCCCCATTTTGTTCCCATTTTTCCCCATTTTCTCTCATTTTTCCCCCATTTTCTCTCACTTTTTCCCCATTTTATCTCATTTTTCCCCATTTTCTCTCATTTTTCCCCCATTTTCTCCCATTTTTCCCCATTTTTCCCCAATTTACCCATTTCTCACCCCGTTTTCCCCCTCACTCACCCCATGGTGCCGCCGCGGGTGCCCAAGGCGCCGGTTGCCATTTCCCCATTTTTCCCCATTTTCTCTCATTCTTTCCCCATTTCCTCTCATTTTTTCTCATTTTCTCCCCATTTTTTCCCATTTTCTCTCATTTTCTCCCCATTTTTTCCCAATTTCCCCGTTTCTCACCCCATTTTCCCCCTCACTCACCCCATGGCGCCGCCGCGGGCGCCGAAGGCGCCAGTTGCCATTTCCCCATTTTGTTCCCATTTTTCCGCCATTTTCTCTCATTCTTTCCCCATTCTTTCCCCATTTTCTCTCATTTTTTCCCCATTTTCCCCCATTTCTCCCCAATTTACCCGTTTCTCACCCCATTTTCCCCCTCACTCACCCCATGGCGCCGCCGCGGGTGCCAAAGGCACCGGTTGCCATTTCCCCATTTTCTCTCATTCTTTCCCCATTTTTTCCCATTTTCTCTCATTTTTTCCCCATTTTTTCCCGTTTTCCCCATTTTTCACCCCATTTTCCCCCTCACTCACCCCATGTTGCCTCCGCGGGTGCCGCGGGTGCCGAAGGCGCCGGTTGCCATTTCCCCATTTTCCCCCATTTTGTTCCCATTTTTCCGCCATTTTCTCCCTTTTTTCCCCATTTTGTTCCCATTTTTCCCCATTTTCCCCCATTTTCTCCCCATTTTTTCCCGTTTTCCCCGTTTCTCACCCCATTTTCCCCCTCACTCACCCCATGTTGCCGCCGCGGGTGCCGCGGGCGCCGCGGGCGCCGCGCTCGAAGCCGCCGCGGGTGCCGAAGGCGCCGCGCCCGCGGCTGCGCTCGCTCGGCGCCGCGGCTCCGTAGCCGCCGCCGGGCTCCTGGTACCCGCCCGAGCTCAGCGAGCCGCCCTCCTGCCCGTAGCTGTTGGCTGGAAAAACGGGAAAAAACATCGGGATTACGGGAATTCCAGGAAAAATCGGGGGAAATTTGGGAAAAATCCACAAAAAATTGGGGAAAATATGGAAAAAATTTGGGGTTTCAGACCCAAATCTGAGGGATTTTGCCCCAGTTCTGCCCCAAATCCCCCGTCTTGCCCGTAGCTGTTGGCTGGAAAAACGGGAAAAAACATCGGGATTATGGGAATTCCGGGAAAAATCGGGGGAAATTTGGGAAAAATCCACAAAAAATTGGGGAAAATATGGAAAAAATTGGGGGTTTCAGACCCAAATCTGAGGGATTTTGCCCCAAATCTGCCCCAAATCTGCCCTTCTTCCTGTAGCTGATGCCTTGAAAAATGGGAAAGAACATCGGGATCACCGAAATTCCCAAATTTTGGGGAATTTTGCGAAAAATCGCAAAAAAATTGGGGGAAAATATGGGAAAAATCGGGGGTTTTAGACCCAAATCTGAGGGATTTTGCCCCAAATTCCAGGGAAATCTGTCTCAGTTACGCCCCAAATCCCCCATCCTGCCCATAGGTGTTGGCTGGAAAAACGGGAAAAAACATCGGGATTACCGAAATTCCTGAATTTTGGGGAATTTTGGGAAAAATCGCAAAAAAATTGGGGGAAATACGGGAAAAATTGGGGGTTTTAGACCCAAATCTGAGGGATTTTGCCCCAATTCCACCCCAAATCCTTTGTAGCTGTTGGCTGGAAAAACAGGAAAAACATCGGGATCACTGAAATTCTGGAATTTTGGGAAATTTTGGGAAAAATCACAGAAAGAATATGGAAAAATCCGGCGAAATTTGAGAGAAATCGGCACAAAATTGAGGGAAAATCGGAGAAAAATCGGGGTAAAATCCGGGAGTTTCAGACCCAAATCTGAGGGATCTTATCCCAAATTCCAGATTCTGACCCAAATTCCACAGATTTTGCCCCAAATTCCAGGGATTCAGCCCAAAAATTCCATGAACTCCACCCTAAATTCCAGGGATTTTTCTCCCAAATTCCACAAATTCTGTTCCAAATTCCAGAAGATTTTGTCTTAAATTCCACAGATTTTGCCCAAAATCCGCAGATTTCACCCCAAAATTCCCAATTTTTTGGGGAATTTTTTGGGAATTTCACTAAAATTTGTGGATATAATTTGGAACCAGTTGGAGAAAAGGTGTTCCCACCCCAAATCCCAAAATTCCACCCCAAATCCCTCAAATCTCAGCCAAAAATCAGCCGATTTCGCTCCGGATTTCGCCGTTTTCACTCCCTATTTTTCCCAAATTCCTCATATTTCACCCCAAAATTCCCAATTTTTTTGGAAATTTTTTGGGAATGTGACTCAAATCCCTGGATATAACTTAGTGTGGAATGCAGAAAACCTGATCCCACGTGAAGCCTCAGAATTCCACCCCAAATCGCTCCGTTTTAACCCATTTTTTCGCCGTTTTCGCTCCCGATTTTTCCCAAAATCCTCATATTTCACCCCAAAATTCCCGTTTTTTTTGGGAGTGCGACTCACAGGAGGCGGCTCCGTAGTGTCCCTGCTGCCCGTAGCCGCCGCTCGGGGGCTTTGGGAACCTGATCCCACCCCAAATCCTCCCAAATCCCCCCAAACTTCAGCCCATTTTGCCCAAAATC